AAAAAAATTCAATTTATAATTATTAATTTGTGAGACTCAAGTGCAATTAATACAATTTATTAGATTTAGCTGATCAATAGCATTATATATGCACTTGGCCCGTGCGGCCCAGGGACTAAAACTACTAAAAAGTGCACATCTTCTCTTTTGGGCGGATTTTGAACCAGTCCATGATAAAACTGTTCCAAAAAAAAAAAAAAGCATTATATTTTATGGGAACTTTTTATCCCACGCCGTGTGAATTCGACAATTTGATTCCGTAAAGAGTTTTTCAGGGCATCCGCAAGCGTGCATTCAGACGAAAATCTGAAATGTCAGTATTTTTCTGCAGCAGCGACATTCCTGATTCCTCCACCAAACCACATAGGTTTAAATATTCTTTAGTCTCTCAACTTTATGCTTTTATACTAAAATGATCACTTAACTTTTTGTTTTAGTACTTTTAATCCCCAACTTTGATTATAAAACAGTCCCTCTTTCAATATAGCTGGATGATTCGAATTTTGACCTTATGAAATTTCGATCCATTTTATTAACTTTCTTCTCCAATCTCATAATCTTCTTTGGCAATAACTCAAATATTACTCTTTTTATTTCAAAATAATTATTATTTTTTATTTTAAATTTATTCTAGATTAATTGTCATTTTTCTTTTTTAAGGTAAATAAATATTTTTTTGCTTGTTTAATTTTGTCATTATCTATTTATTTTAATTAATTATTTAAGAATTTTTTTAACTTATGCCTTTAGAATACATGTTAAGGTAAATGTATCTTTTTGTAACAAATTTATATAGGAAAATGTAAAAATAAACATTAATTTTAAAGTTAATATCACGTGAATAAATTTAATTAAACGATTGATAAATTAAATATTATTTTTTATATTTTTTAAATTCTTAACCTATGCCTCTTAGACTTGTGCCCTAAGAGGCATAGGTTAGAAAAACCTATTATCTAAACACAAAAAATCTTTTTTTGTCTTTTATTTATTTTTTAAAGTATTATAAATAAAGACTTATCTAATTTGTACTTTTGGAGATGTAATTAATATATTTTTTACATTGATTAATATAAAAAATAACAAAAATTAACATTAATTTTATCATTAATGCTACATGTATTGTTTTAATTAGATGATTAATTAAAAAAATTAAATTTTATTTTTTTAATAACAATTAACATTAAAAAAATATTCTTAACTTGTCTTTAAAGACACAAGTTATAAGAACTCTATAAATAAATATAAATATAGTTCTCAAATTCTTAATTTTAAAAAATAAAAAATACAATTATTTTGAGACAATAAAATATTTTTAATATTTTTAGTTCCAAAATTGAAAATTGGGATTAAAAAAGGTACTATAACAAGTGGAGGAACCATTTTAATGCAAAAACACGAAGTTAAAGGATACAAAAAGTATTTCAATCGAACCAGGAGAAAATTTATATTAGAAAAATCTTTTTGTTTATTATGTACACTCAAAAGCCGGTGAACTTTACCTTCTTCAAGTTATTAGTGGCCGGTGGGGACTCTTGAACTTTCATTAATAAATCATTTTATCAATTGACCCTTTTTTTTTTTTCTTTTTTAACTGAATTTATCAATTGACCATTATTATGCATTTAGCCCTGTAATCTAATGTTTAAGGTGCATCTCCTCTTTTTTTCTTTTTGAACTTAAGAAATTTTTAGATGTGAGAAATAATATCAAGATATTGAACTTAAGATTTTACGTCCTAACATTTCTTATCAAAGGAGTGGTTACTAGGCTACTTAGTGCTAAACAAAATGCATCTCCTCTTTATTTAATCAAAACCTAATAGGATTTGCTGCATGAGGTGATATTTGAATTAAAAAAAAAAAAATCCCCTAAGGCCCTAACACTGTGGTGGAAATAGAGGCATGTGATTGTAGCCGGCCATCTTAGGTTGGGTTGCATTTTTTCTAGCAATCCTATGGTT